CACACTCATCTATCATCCAGGGCTGGTACAATACGTCAATTAGTGGCCGAGGTACCAAGTGGACTCAGTCTTACAAACAAAGATAACAAAAACTCCGTGGTTTTAGTCCGCAAGCGAACTATACCGGCCGAGCTACCGCCGCTTGTCGGCGAAGTTAGTGCCAACTTTAGTGGATAGAGAGTGCCGCGTGGTCAGCGCAACGAATCCCCACTACCGTTAATTTCGGGTTTCTAGACCGGAGCCGTTATTTCCTTGAAGTGTCTCCTCAATTATCATCACGAGGCTGAGTGGACCCCGTTCCAGACCCACTACTACCCACAAAAAAATAATAACTGTAAGTTGTTATTTAGTTTTACTCGTATTAGTTAAAGCCCCCTGTTAGTACCAGGCTATATACAGGATGATTAATGAATATGGAACAGTTGGTGGAACGAAAATTTACTGCAGAAACCGAAATACTTGGAGAATACCTCCTTCAGTGCCATTTTGTTTACCAAAAATGACGCATGACCTGATCTGAAATCAAACCGCAGCCCCTGAGACGAGAAATCTGCCTGAGTTATGGCACGAACCTCGTATGTTGTACGAAATTGTATTGATCCACTGTAGTGAATTTTCGTGTCTGCGAACACAGGTCTTGCCTCGCTGAAAAGGTTTCGTTCCTTGCCTGACTCAAGCAGGAAGCTCGTGTCGGGGTAGGAATTGTATATTACGGTTGAATTGTCTTGCGTGAAAATAATCCTCTTAAAGCGAAAGAGAAATGTCTGAGCAAGAAAGAATGCATGGACTTTTTATCTTTCCGTTTACCATTTCCTGAAAACATGCTGAAGAGGGCTGTTTCCAGATAATGTCACACTTCAACGCTGAAAATATCCCTTTGATTCCTAAAAACACGCAAAAACAAAAAAGTAAGACCCGAATACAATCGAATCTTGAAAACCAATCAGATTATCTTAACCACAAGGCTGCGCCATAGCTCAAGCGGTTAGTCGCTGGCTCCTCACCGCGGCAGCCCGGGTTCGATCCTGGGTCTGGTGAAGTGGGATTTGTAGTGGACAAAGTGGCGCTGGGGCAGGTTTTCTCCAAGTACTTCGGTTTCCCCTGCCAGTCTTCATTCCACCAACTGCTCCACAATCACCCTCACCTATCATATGGGGCTGCTACAATAGACCAGAAGTGGCCGCAGTACAAGGGACTTAGTCCCACCCCACTAGCAATAGAAAAAAAAAATCTTAACCACAAGCAGATCTGACGAAGTCTGGAAACCAGTGGAACAAAATCCTGCACCAGCGGTTCACAATCTGGGGGACGCAACCCTTCAGGGGGTGGCATGAGAGACTTTCAGGGGAGTGGTGAGGTGCTAAGAAGAAATCAAATTTTAAAGCAAAATTTGACTCAAATAATTCTTGTCGCCAGCATGTAATCCTATTTTTTAAACAGCTGTCAGAACTTAAAACCGAAATTAAAAAATAAAGCTACTAGATGTCAACAACCGCCACCATTATGTACTCGTCACTACACCATGCAGCACTTTTATTTTAAAATTTTGAATTTCCTTTTCACTCGCAGGAGAAAGGAGAGCTCAGTCCTTATAGAGATGGGCTATGAGATGGACGGCCAGGTTTTGATTCCCGGCAGAGGAACAAGATAGTTCTCTATTCCACAGCGTCCAGACTGGATCTGGGGCCCACTTGACCTTATATTCAATGGGTAACAGGGGTTCTTCCGCCGAAGTAAAGCGGCTGGGGTTTATAGCTGACCTCCCACTTCCAACTAGTGGCGAGGTCAAGAATGGTGGAGCCATACCTCTACGCCCTCAAATGTATTTATGGCGTGGTGCTTAACCTCCTACTACAATCCGGTGTGACAAAATTTGACTCCCATTATACCAATCAATCGATAAATTTTCTCTTCTTGCATGAAGTTTAGGTTTTGACGAGCCGGAATCCTCATATGCAGTTCCATCCTCCATTTAGCCCACTTCGCTTATTTCGAAAAGAGAAAAAGAGACTTACGAAATCCCCTTGCTTTCTGTGTCTGCCCCCCCCCCCATTTTTTTTCTGTGCTGTCCTTGTAACCACCTCTGTGGTCTAGTGGTCAGAGTTCCTGACTACAGATCCGGAAGTCCGGGTTCGATTCCCGGCGCTACCAATTTTTTTTTCTGAGAAGTAGTGGGTCTGGAACGGGGTCCACTCAGCCTCACTCGTGATGATAATTGATGAGCTATTTCAAGGAAACAGCGGCTCCGCTCTAAAAAACCGAAATTAACAGCCGTGGGGATTGGTTGTGCTGACCACGCGAAACCTTCTATCCGCTAAAGTTGGCACTAATTTCGCCGATAAACGACGGTCGCTCGGTCGGTTTAGTTCGTTTGTGGACTAAAACCACAGAGTTTGTTTTTGTTTGTGCTATCCTTGTCGTATCAAAGGAAAGTAGGCGAATAATTACTCCCAGAACTTCCTCTTTTGTCCAACAATACTCCATGTTCAAAAAGTACAAATTAGGAGAACGAAGTGAAAATTTGTGATATGAATTTTTAAAATACAGAGGGATCTAAAAAAATTTACACACATTTTAATAGAGGTTATCTATGGACCCAACCACAAAGTTGAATCGAAATATAATGTACGGTATGTAGTGTGATATTCTCTCAAAAGATGGTGCTAGTTAGCCAGAGCCACATTATCGAATGGCGGACAGTCAAAGAAAATGGCGGCGGAACGGTGGGCCTCTCACTTATTTTGGACCCCTCTATATATTCAGTGTGATTCATTTTTGTGCTGAATGCGTGCTTTCATTTATTACTAAATATCTGCAATGACATGTAATTAGTGTTTTACTTCATTTTCCTCCTTTTTATTAATTTTAGGGTATGGAATTTGTTTCCAGGAACGGAACTACAATTTATAACGTTGCTCCTATGCGAAATTTAGGTTATAATTACGACGCAGGGGCCCCTGTGCTCTATACCTGTACAGCGCTGTTTGCCCACGAACCCCTCAGGAGGCGTCCCACTGGGGTACCGATGCAAACGTCCGTTCCGGTGTAGGGCTCCCGATGACCTGAACCAATATGACGTCACTGCCCGTTATCCGGAGGGGCGTTCTACCACGGTCTCCCGCCCAACCGACTGCAAGGTGCTGTTAGCCTGTCTTATCGGCCACACGCAAGGCGCATCCAGTTTATTCCCCTGGACTTGTGCTAAGTTGTCATTCTGTAAATCCGACTGAGGAATTCATCTTTTGGGTTATGCCGCCGGGTAGTCTGGCAGTCTGGTTACGAATATTTTTGAGTAGCAGACTTCTCTTGCTGAATATGCAAGTGATTTCCTTCAAAACTTTGCTAACCCTCTACCAGATAGTACGATCATATATCCCTAAAATTGGAAGCAGTGTTTATTTATGGATTATTATTATTATTATTATTATTATTATTATTATTATTATTATTATTATGGGGAGCTGGTTAGGCTGCGTAGCGACTGGTTACGGGCTGGACGACCGAGGGGTCGGAGTTTGAGTCCCGCTAGGATCAAGAATTTTCTCTTCCCCACGTCGTCCAGACCGGCTCTAGGGT